CATGGTTTCAAAAAATGTGTAACTTAACACTCTCCACAACTTTTCTATAGTGAAAATTGATTTTAGTAGTCAAATAAGAGTTTATGATAAGCAAATAACGTTTTTATATTATCTAATTGACATTAACCAAAGCGATTAGTAATGACTATTTTCGTGACCATTGCAGTTCAACCGTGTCTAGTGTGAGTAATGTTCGTGCCATATTGTGGATGGTTTAAAGATAAAGCATTAAAACTAACGGATGTCGTCTCGGCGTTCGAGAGGTTAAACATTTGCTCGTGATACTGAAAATCCTGGTACCGGTTTCCACTTGATGGGTTGTGAATGTGCATTGCTAATGAATCCTATACAAGGATGAAACGACTGTTCAGTGTTAACAGGCTTCTATTGGTGATCACTCATCGATCATTGTATGATCATGATGAAGTTAACCATAGAGTTTGATCACAAACAAACATTCTTATGTTATATAGAAGTATTCCAGAGAAAATTGCAAAAAGGTCCTTTTTGTGTCTTTTACATTTTGAACTTACTATTATAATATTGTTTTATTATCAAGTGTATTTTTATTTGATTGTGACCGATTTGGTTTGGTGTGCTTATACGGGTATGAGGGCGGTTGTTACTTCTCCGGCTGTACACACCGTGGAAGTGTACTTCTGGAGAAACCTGAAAAGGGAATTGAATGTGGGTTTGTCTGAGCGACCTGGGATCGTGATAGCAGAGCTTAGCGGACAATTGCTTGAGGCCGGTCACGCAAGGCCTTTTTATGCGAAGTTTTTAAAGGGTTAGCTCCGCTCTTTAAGTGGCCTTACCGCCGGAGACGGAAATCTGTGAGGTAAGGTGAGGTGCGACTTTTTTTGGGTCGGCCTTACCAAACCCCTTTCTTTCATTGTTAGAAGGCAGCACCGCTGCAGATGCTAGTTGTCCAAGGGAAGCACCTTACTGCTGTGAAACCCCTCTTCCGTCAGCTGTACGACGTCACCCTCAGACCGTGGTTAAGCAATTTGAAATGATGTGCGTACATACGAAGTTCCACATGGTAACTGACTGACTTATTGAGATCTACACTTTTTCACTTCTTTATCGCCATTGCTTTTACTTGTATTTTAAATTGTCAATTTACCGTTTGTTTTTTTTTTGATGTATGAAAGTTTTAAACAAGTAATTTTGTGATCGAATTATTTAAAACAATACGGATTATTCAATAAATTTTGGTTTTTTTCTCATCTCATTATATAAGAATTACACTAATTCATAGGAGATGGGCAAATTGGAATTTTCATTTAAAAAGATATTTTTTTGATTATTATCATTGCTAAAAATTTATGATTTGTTAACTGTGATTGATCTTCACTTCACTGTATATTTTTCTCAATCTTTGTTAGCATTGAGTTTCGTGAAGTTGAAACCTTGATTCTGTTGGTTTTGACAGAGTATTTACAAATATTTCAGTAGTAATTACTGTTGGACAATTCAAAATATTTACTTTATGACACATTAACTTGATAAGTACAGCAGTGACACTAGAAATAATTCATGTTTGAATTCTGTTATTCACTGTAAACATCACTATCAACTGATAGCACTTATACCTAACAAGACCTCCGTCTGTAGACCCTCCAGAGTTACTGTCAGTCCCTACCCCGGATAAAGAAGGGAGGGTTGGGATTGTGAGTGGTGACCCCATACAGTAAAAATCATAACTCGCTAAAAAAACGCTAACAAGAAAAAATAACTCAAACCATCTAAACTCTGCTCTGGGAGTTAGAAGGTCTTCATTTAGAAGAATTATGACGTCTCATGATGAAAGTCGAGTTCCTGCGGAAGTCATGAAGGCGATTCCTCTTATGACAATCAGAACCCTTTCACAGTGTGGGAAGCCGGGAGGTAACATCTGTCCTCATACCCATAAAAGCACTTGAGACCGAATCGTTCATAATCAAATACTTTCAACACCTCCTAATAAATTTCTTATCTCAACGACCAACCCTTTTTTGATTGTTTGTCACTTCGCTCCACTGATGCGAATGGTTTGAGCTCACGAAACATTATTCTTGATCTCTTGAAACTCCGTACTAAATTATATATTGGAACTTTTAAGGTTTGAACGTTATGCTAAATAGGTTCACAAGCTTCATTAGCTAGATCTCTGGATTCTACCTCCACTACTGTAGTGAAGGAGAACACAGGTGACGGCAACCGAATTGTATTTAACGAAAATTACAGAGTTACTCAGTAAAATAGGAAAACCATATCGTAAACGGTTAATTTGCAAATCTTCAATCCATCATCAATCGATTGTCTGACATTTCACCACTATTCATGCGCTTCATACAAATTCCATTGTGTTCCCACTCTTCCTTTCTCTTGATCTTCCCCCATCTTCTGCTGCCAGACATTACGTTGACACTCACGTCATATACTACTTATAAGTAGCGCGCACCACACTACTACTATAGGGTTTAAATTAACAATTACATCTCTGTTCTAATGTGCTATGTCAACTTGAACTGATGTACGTACGTACAAAGTTCTATATTATTTTTATTGACTGACTGTTACCTAACAAGAATCTCAAATATAATTAAAAACACTCATCAGATACATTACCTGATCAATTCCTACATTATTTAACCAAAAATATCCTTGCCAAAATGCAATGATACAATAAAATCTGATAAATTATTATTTTTTTTTATTTTAAAATTAAATATGCACGAATTTCCAGGAAAAAAAATAAAATAAAATAAACTTTTCATAGTTATTTTATTCAATAAAACAAAATTCAGCTTAAACTGGATTTTAATGAAACTTATTTTTTGCTGCAGAAATATCTTAGTAATACAATACAATACAATAACGGTTGTTAGGATAAACAAACATTTCCAAAAAAACTTTGTTCGCCGTTAGATTTTTTTGAAATAAACAAAAAAAAGGTTTTTGCAGCTACCTGGAGTGATCGATTGATATGAATAGGAAAGAATGACTATATTATACTCATTAATGATGCTGTAGTCTTGAAGCGGAAAAAAATGAAAATCGAATTTTTCCAGTTGTCATTGTTTTTCCAGATTTTCAGTAGAGTTTAGCTCATTTTGAGCTGGTGGAGAAAATTTTCTAGCTGTAGTGGAGGATGGATTGTGGTGGTGATGGGGTTTCATTCTCTATGAGTTGGATGTTGTTTTGGTTGTGAAGCTTTCAATTGTTCATCTGCTGAACACAACACTATCAGCTCAAACTTCTGGTAGAAGTCAGTCAGTCAACAACGTAGAACTTCGTACGTACATGCATCAGTTTAAGTTGCCATACTGCATGAGTACAGAGGTGCAAATGTCAATTTTCAAATCACCCCATAGTGGTAGTGTGGTGCGAGCTACTTATAAGTAGCATATGACGTGAGTGTCAACGTAATGTCTGGCAGTGGAAGATGGGGGAAGATCAAGAAAGGAGGAGTTAGAAGAACACAATAGAATTTGTATGAAACGCATGAATAGTGACAATGGATTGATGTTTGGCAACAGAAACAGTCCACTTCGATAGGATGAACTGATATTTTGCAAATGAACGATTTACGATATGGTTTTCCTATTTTATTACTGAGTAACTCTGTAACTTTCGTTAAATACAATCTGTGTTCTCGTTCACTACAGTAGTATGAACTATAATCGGAAAACTTAATTTCATTTCTGTACATGTTTTAAAGAATTTGAATTTGAAGGGAGTAATGATTGTAAACAGTACGATAGACAGGGATGTAGTTGATAATGGACATAGAATGGACATTTTCCACTGTTTCAAAGTTATCAGTAAATAAAGTAACGTTAGTAAGTGATCTTCGATTTGTCAAACGAGTAGCAATTAAAAAAACCTTAGACCTAATTTATGTGACCAGATAGTAGGGACAGTAATTAACTTTATTTGGTAATTGCACGGCATTGAGTAATATAACCTTGATATTATTTCTTATTCTTTTGATTATTATTTAATTATGCTGTGTATTGTTTTTTTGGGAATCTTCGTTAAACAAACTGAAATCATCCTTTCATCTATTTATTTTTCATTGAGATGGTGGAGAAAATTTGTAGCTCCAGTGGAGGATGGATGATTCTGGTGCTGATGGAGTTTCATTCTCTATGAGCTGGATGTTGTTTTGATTGTGGAGCTTTCATTGTTCTCCGGTTTTGAACATCATCACCACGTCTGACTCATGACCAATCAAGATCTAGGTGAGCAAGGCAAGCTATGAGTCATACACTTGGAGAATTTTGAAATACTTCATTTCTACCGTGAAGTTTGTGCTGCCGATGATGATGTTGTTGTGTTCAGAAGGAGAACATTGAAAGCTCCACAACCAAAACATTATCCATCTCACATAACGAAACTTCATTACAAAGTTAACTATTACTAACGTCTTCT